ACTCTATATTAGTTTGTGCGGGTTTCCTGATTGGATTCGGCTATTACGTTTCCTGGCCCCCGCGCTGATTGTTTACGCCCGGCAGACGCGACCCCGGCGCGTTATCCGATCGAGCGTAACTCCACGATCCCCGTCATCTGGAGACACGTTGCGTTGTACATCCCGAAATCGAAGAAACTCCCCTCACACTTGGATCGCGTCGAAGACGCGTCGAACGGAGACGTGTCAACCCGTCGACTGGTCGGGGCGATCCGACAATGTAATCTCGTGGTTGCTCGACTCGAAGGAATCCGCGTCGGTATCTCCGGGATAAATCTGCCCGGTGCTTCCACAGCCGGGGTTAAGTAGCCCCGCGTGTGCCTCGCTGCCGCTCTCGCGGTATGGAACCCGGCGATTTCTGACCTACCCGCCGCCCGCGGAACTCGATATCGCCGATCGAGATCTATCGTGTCCTGTCGGCCGAGCGTTAAACCCACGTGAACTTCGAGAGTCGCCGGCGCGGCGTAGCGTACGGCCGACGAGTCTTCGACGTGGGGAGTCCACGCCGAGAGCGGTCGGAGGATTTCTGAGCGAGCGCACAGCGGTAGCTGATGTATTTTGACGTGCCCGATGAGAGAGGCCGCTCTCTCTGTTGACTGCATTATCTAATGGACCACCCTCTCCGCCTTCGCTCCCTCCTCTCTCTCTCTCTCTCTCTCCCCGCTTTGTCTCGTTCTCTCTCGTGTGTCTCCCGTTCTCCCCCTCGTCGCGGCCTTCCCGCCTGATGCACGTTTCAGCTATCTGCGATCTGCCACGTCGAGGTCCGATCGAGCTCCGACTCGCGCCGGCTCTGGTTTCATGACCGACCGCGAATTTCTTCTCCTTCTTCTTACGCGTTTTGCGTAATCGCCGATGTCATCCTCGAGTACGCACGGATGCACGCGTATACGCACGCACACACGCGGTCGCGATGAACCGAAATCGCCGCGAGGCCGTGTACGGGGTTCGAATGAAAGTACCTTTCGGATATAGAGGCGGATAGGTGGATCCGATAGATCGCCGCGTTAAAAGCACGAGCGTTGGATGACATATGCGGGGTGCATAGGCGGTATGCGATTACACGCGCTTGAGGCTAATTAAGATTGAGGGAGATACATAAGAAGCAGATACGCACGGATGGGACTGTTCCGTTCGCGTACGCGAGAACGAGAGAGAGAGAGAGCGCGCCTAAGCGGAGCGGAGGTTTCCCTCAGCGTTCGCGGCGACGCGAAGAAAAGGGTGTTGCGTTGAAATCTTCGGCCGATGATGCCGATAGGCCGGCTGGCTCGTCGGCACCAGCGGCGCTTCCAACGACCGAGAGCTCCGGCACGATTTGGTCGGGAAAGAAGTTACGCCGCAGTTACATCCAAGGCGAGGCAAAAAGCCCGGCGAGTACCGAGAGAAGAGGAGAACAACGAAGAAGAAAAGAAAGAGAGAGAAGAGAGGGACAAGTCGTGGAGCGGCGGAGCGTTTTTCGCGGCCGGCAAAGTATTGTCCGCGCGCGCGCGCGATACCCGCGTCTCGTCGGAGCGAGATCGTGCGACCGTGACTCTGGAATCATCCCTAACCTTAGACCCCCGCGCGCAGCATCATCCGCGCCCAGCTATCTTCAACACTATCCCAGACCGGTACAATCTCTCGTATCCGCTAGCATCAAATTACCAGTTCCTCCTCGTCGATCTACGACCCGCTGTCGTCGTCGCCGCTCGATTGGTACCTTTCGAGGAACGCACCGTGTCGGCGTTTTCTGTCGAGTTTGCGCGCACCGCCGCGTACAGATTCGATTAATAAACGCGTGCGAAACGATCCTTGTGCTCGCAGTCGCTCGGCCGATCGGACGGTGCACACCTTTCCCCTCCCGAGTTCGATGTTCGGCCGGACCACCCGTGCGATAGTAATGCAAATGACGAGGACGACAGTTGCGGACAATTGCGAGGGAAGTATTTCCCACCTGGGCTGCGGGTTTCAGCAAAAATCGCAACAACGTGGCCAACCGTCGCGGCTTACTACCGTGTCTAAATTTACCACCACCGCGGGGACCAGCGGGGAACGCGAGGTCCTCATGCAACTGTCCGAGCATCGAGGAGAGAAAAAAAAAGGATCGTCCTTCGTCGCGCGATTCAGGCGAGGTAGAGGAGAGCGATACAGCCTTCGTCCTGGCTGGCACCGTAGGTGGACGACGTCGGGCCCGAGAGAGCAGCCCCATTCGGGGCAATTCTTTGCCGGCTCGCGTGTATCCTTAGTATGCAACGTATGCAGTCGGTTGTTACCGAAGGAGTGGTTTGCCGAGCGGCCAATGGCGAGTGCTCGAGCTAATTCTAGGGTGCCGCCGCCGCGCCATCTTTGCATCATAATGCTGTCCCCCCGTACCCCGGCGCTGTTCTCTCTCTCTCTTTCTCTTTCTCTTCTCTCCTCTCTTCCCGTCCCTCACCGCCCCTCCCGTCACTGAGAAGTCTGCCCCCTTCTTCCTCCCTGCCGCCGTCTCTCAACCTCCTTCCCTCCGCGCCCCCCTCGTCTCCCGTCCCCACCCTCTCCCACTTTCTCTCCACCCTTGTTTCGCTCGGCGTAGGAGAGAGAGAGAGAGAGAGAGAGAGAAGGCGAAGGAGACGAAACATCGGCGGAGAGAGAGCGAAAGAAAAGGAACGAAGAGAAACGTCTCGGAGGCGCGTTATGCCAAAGTGGATAAGGAGAAGAGTGCATGAGAGGGAGACGGAAAGGTATAGGCAGGGAGGAAAAGGAGGGGCACGGCCATGGTGAAGAGGTAGAGGGGACGAAGGGGTTGTCTGCGCCTTGTCTGCCGGGAATCAATCACGTATCAGTGATGCTCAACCGGTGGCCACCTGCGAGACAGGATCGATAGGATCGCGATACCTGTGTGGTTACGAGCACAGAGTCGATGGCATCCGTCGTTGTTCCGCGAGAGCGCTCTCGCGACCGCATCTAGCGCGTCCAATTTCGGAGAGGTCGACAGGACCGACGACGACGACGTCTTCTGCGTGACGTCTCTGATCGCACTCGCAGCTACTCGAGAACAAGTATGATACTCCCGCGATGCCGGTGGCCGAATAAGAAATACATTTGCATCTAAAGTGGATGGATGCCTTTGCGCGAGCCTCGACGATTTACTTCCACGGCAGCAATATGATCTCTGATTACCGTTCCAGAAATGACGCGAGTAGGGCGATTAAAGCCGCGTGCCTAATCTCCATGTTGCACGCCGCCGCGCGAGGGAAGGTAATGTCGTCGTATTCGAGGACGCCCACGGCGACGTGGTACCTACGCCTCGCGCTACCGTCTTAACTGTCAGGGTAGGGTAATGTTGAGCCGGGAACGCGAGTAGCTACCGTCTTCCGCGGAGTTGCCTTCGAGAGAAATCGCGACAGATCCATCTCGGTGCGCCGTTCGACCAAGCAACCGACGGACGTATCTACTCGGCTCTCTCTCTCTCTCCAAATCGAAGGAGGATGACGCGACTATCTCGTCGCGGATCGTTCAGATTAAACGCGTTCATCGCGAACCGTCGTCCCTCCAAAATCACATCGGCCGGAGGCGTCGAATCGAGCAGCGCTCTCGATCTAATCTTTTTGCCCCGAGGTGCCTTTTCGCGGGAATCGAACGCGCGCAAGAACCGGTCAACGTCTCGACCGACGGTCAGACGAACGAACGAACGAACGAACGAACGGACGGACGCGCCATTATTCGTCGAACTTGGATCGCAACGAGGATCCGAGCGATCAAGGCAGGACCGTCGACAACAAAGCCGGAGTTCGCGAGAGATCGAGTCGAAAGTGTCGAGAGGGCCGCGCCCGGCGAAGATACAATGGCCGGACGCGGCGGTTCACAATGACGGAAAATAATTAAAGCGGGCAGAGGGAGAAAGCCGCTCAAAGACGCCGACACGGGACTCGACCGATCAAACTGATCGGCCTGCGTGTAGCGAGCGCATCGTGCACGACCCGTCGCCGTGTCGAATGCGCGCTCTCCTACATGTTGAGAGCCGTGTGTGCGAGCGTTCGAACGCAAATTCGTGTGTACGCATCACGCTGGATTGACTTCGCGCCGACGACGGGCAGAGCGAGGGACTTGGGGAAACGCAGAAAAAAGCTCTCTCTCTCTCAGGGCCGACGGACGATCGGCGCGAAAACAACGAATAAACGAGCTACCCGTGTCGCAGCGCCCGCGACCTACAGGTCTGAGCGCGATCTCGAACGAGATGCACGAGAGGTGCGAGAGATTTTACGGTGGAGAATCCGTCAATCGGGCCGTGCGCCTCACATTATGCGCCGTCAAACTAATTGCGGATAAAATATGTTACCACGAGCGCATCTCTGCTCTGCATTTTGTCTCCCGCTGGTAATAACTTACCAGCGCTGGAAACATGATCGATGAGAACGGTAAACGGCCAACAACTGTCCCCCTCTTCACCTGTCAAAACTACTCCGGCCCGTACGCCACAGTCTCGCGCCCTTCGCGCGTATATTCGCACTCTGTGTAACGCCTAAGGTGTATGAAACGAGATGGCGGGAACGCGCGGCAGTCCGATATCTTCGGACTCTCCCTGTATCTTTTTAGCGGCGTGACTCACGGGAGAATCGATGAACGATTCGACTCGGCCGGCTACCGCACGGTAGCTGACGAGACGATCGGACCCCCGCTTAGACGTGTACTTTGAGTTTCGGGCCCGGCCGCGCTCGGTGTGAAGCCCCCCGCGGTAGAATGATACGCCAGGATAATTCCGTCGGACTTTGACCACGCCGGGGTTCCGCCACCTGGGGGACGGCTGGTGCGCGCGGATTCGGCGCGTGTTCCCCGTCAAGTTTCGCACACCTCGGGATATCTCGATACGCGGGCACCGAGAGAGAGAGAGAGAGAGAGAAAGCGTTCGCGAAGCGCGCGCCTACGGTAAAACGCCGGCCCTCGCCGGCGCGCGAGCTGACGTTGCGAATCGCGCTGATCTCGCGTCGCTGCTTCTTCTGTTGCAGTGGTCTACCAGAAACGGTTAAAGAAGGAGCGGAGAGCGAGGAAACGGTTGCAGGAGCAACTGGACCTGGAGGTGAAGAGGCGCACCCAATTAGAAGAGGCTCTCAAAGCCACGGGAGCATCCTCCGAGCAAGTCAGAGCGATCACCGGTACGTACGAATAGCCGTGCACCCTCTCCGAGAAAGAGACAGATATATCGGCTGCGTTCAGAAAACACAACGGGTTACACAACGGTTGAGTAATTCGTCAACGTACACGGAAAAAAGAGATCGGCTGCAGCAGCTAAATTCGTTGTAACGTATGGACACGTGAAACTTCAGCAGCCCAAGTAATTTTAATTGCCGCAACCAGTAAGAAAACCGTACTGTTGCGTCATTTACGATAATACGTTTGCCGTAGCGGCTAAAATTACTTGCTGAAGTTTTACGTGCCCATATGTTAAAACTAATTCACCCACCGAATCTAATCTTTTCTCCCGTGTAATTGGTGTGAATTTAGGGATCTAACGGTAAAGACCAATAATCCATGACCACCGCTCGCTGGTCGCTTTGTTTTGCTAAACGCAGCCATTCACGGTGGAATTTACCGAGATCACCGATCGCACTGAAAACAGATCGCCGAGATCGGTTATTATCCGTATCGAGAACACCTCACAACAATATCCCATGTTGCGAAAAATCATGATTGCCGATGCGCTTTCGCATCGCGTTCAGATTAAACGCGCGAGAGAAAAAGGGAGGAAGAGAGCGAGAGAGAGAGAGAGAGAGAGACGCGAAAGGGAGAGAGACTATCGCGGCTGCAAATGGACGGGTTTTCTCGGGATTTCGCGAGCTCGTCGTTAGTTTCTCCGTTAAGAGCCCCGGGGCCACTGGTGATCTCGGAATAAATTAATTAATACGCCGAGGCAGAGCAAACAGCCTGACACCCGGCAGAATATGATTCCTTACTTATCCCCCTGCCGGCGGTGCAATCCCTCTCCGTCGTCGTCGGCTGGCTGATGGCAGCCTTCTTCTTCTCCCTTCCCTCCCCCCTCGGCACCCCCCTCCGGCATCTTGTGACTAGGCACGGCGCGTCTCGCCCCCATGATCCTCCTCCGGCAGTAGAAGTAGCAGCAACAAGCGGCACGCCACCCCTCTTGCCCTGTCACTACCAAAACTCCAACGCGAAACCCTTTAAGAGAGAAGAGAGAGAGTGAAATCTCTTATTCCCGATATAATGTTTCACGTTGCCCCCCTCCCCCCCCGTCACCATTTCTCCTCCATCCTCTCTCACAGCACCTTCTTCTCTTCCTCTCTCTTTCTCTCTCTCTCTCTCTCTCTACCGTCTCATCCACCACGTCGTTTTCGCGTTACACCTCCGTTGCTGCCGCCGCTGCTGTTGCTGCTGCCGTCGCTGCCACCACCGCCGCCACCGCCATTGCCGCCGTCATCGTCGTCGTCGCCGCCGCCGCCACCGCCGTCGTCGTCGTCATCCGTACCGTTGATTAACCCTGTCAGATCCAGAGTCGCGATACTAATTTCGAATCGAACGGCAAGTCGCTCCGACACTTCGGCGCCGCGCGAGTCGGGGTGAGTCAGCACAGACGGTGTTATGGTTACGTTACTTTACGGACTGCCGACGAGAGAGTCCTATTGACGCGCGTTCTGTTTCGAACTCTGCGTCTACTCTCGCGCGTACTTCGCGCGACGTCTCTCCCTACATTTCTTCTCTTTCTCTCTCTTTCTCTCTCTCTCTGTCTCTCTCCCGAGCGCGCGAGGGTCAACTTGCCCGTTGATCATTCGCTCGACGCGGCGATCGGAAATACCGACGCGCACCCTCCGAACGCTGCGCCGAGGGAAGGATAGTTCAGAGAGACGGATACGTCGTCGTCGTAGTCGTCACGGGCGCCGCGATAATCGAGCGACTGCTATCTCTCTGACGCAGAGAACGTCACGGCGGAAGCGCGCACGAGTTCGGAGCCGCCGGAGGCTAGCCCGGTGCATTCCCAGTCGCAGCAGCAGCCCTCGCAGCAACAGCCGCCGCAGCAACCCCTTCAGCAGCAACAGGCAGCGGCTCAGCAGTACCGGGAGGCGCAAGTGCCGCGTCCTTCCCAACAACCGTCGACGCCGGAGAAGCCCGCATGGGGATACGGGCTGGATCTCATCGGCAGCCAGGCGTCGGCCTTCTGGCAAAACTACCAAGGTCAGTCTCTCTCTCTCTCTCTCTCTGTTTGTCGGTCTCTATCTCTCAGCACAACAGCATGCTACCCTTCGCCCTCTCGTCGCAACCCGACGAGAGAAATTCCCCTGTTCCGTTTCCCACGTCGTTTCTCCGCGGCGACGCGAGCCGGAAAAATGCACCGGCGATACTCGAGTCGCTTATCGTTAAAGGAAAATCCCAATTTCTTCCTTTCCGACATCGGGAGAGCACACTTTTCTCCATGAGTGTGCCGATCACTACGATACTCATGTCCCGTTCCCCGAGTTTCACTCATCAGCTGTGTCCTCGACTCGATTCTTCCCGCGTCTATCGGCTAAGATACTCTATTCACACGTCCGAAAAGAAAGCTGGAAAGGCGAAAGAGTGGCCGACGAGAGAAAGAGAGAGAAAAAGAAATTATTCGTAGAGGAGCGTGGCTAAATCCTACACTCCTCGGCACATTACAGCATTCGTGGCAATTCGAGAAAGTAGCAATATCGCGTGTTAGAAACTCGTAAGGCCGAACGGGGAGAGGAGGCGATGAAGATCGGCCCAGAACCCACGGCGGGATCCGCTAATTCGGATAATCGCGTTCCCGTATTAGGATCCACTCAATTTTTCTGATCTTCCGGCCGAGTGCTCTCGATCCTCGATTACCCTGACAAAAAAAGGAAGAAGAAGAAGAGCGAGAGAGGGCGGGG